TCCCATGATTCCAGATCAATAGGCTAAAGGTTTTGCAGGGCCCCATGCCTCCCCTTCCTTCAGAGATGTACAAAAGATTATAGCTCAGCGCACAGGCCACTCAGCAAATACCTAACTCATTCAGTGGGGCAGGCCGGCCTAGCAGTGAAGAATTCATTTGCTGAGACCTTTTGTACTGTTCCTGTGGCACAAGTAGATAGGCTCAGCAAGAGAGATGAGAAGGAAAAGGGCATGGTGCTGGCAGGTGAGCTCCAGCTTGGAGGCTGAGGGCATGGTGACAGTGAGAGCATTTAAAGATTGGCACCTTCTTCTTTTCCCAGCCTGTTGGCCACATTGCTCTCTGCATGTTGTGCCATGTGATTGATGTCTGTGAACTACTGCTGAGTGAGGTCTGGGCGCCAGGCAGGGAGTGGAGCATGGGCCTCCGGAGTGGCTGCCTGCCCTCTACCCCTGGCCTGGGCTGTGATCCTTGAACATGCCACACAACCCTCACCATAAGGCTACTGCACTCACCTGGTTCTCTAACTGAGATGCCCTTTCTCTTGATAGACAGGTGGCTTGCTCTCTCAACCTGCTCTGCTCCGTTGTCACCTTCTCAGGGCAACATTCTCTAACTACATTTTCCAAAGTAAATTCCCACTCTGTGATCCCACCCTCTTTACCCCACTTTATTTATTTATTTACTTACTTACTTACTTACTTACTTACTTATTTTTGCCAATGGTACTGTATATAACTTATTTTATATGTGTGTGTTTCTACCCCGGCCTAGAACTTTTGTTCCCTCAGGGCCTTAGTGCCTGGCACCCACTGTGTGGTATGAATGAAAAAATGAATGCATGGTAGCGGTAGCAAGGGATGCTAAACTTGTGCCTGGCTAGACAGAAACATGACGTTGTACAGAGTAAATGATGAAAATAAACCTTTGGTAAAGATGTTTCTTGGTAACCTGTGTAAAAGCAAACAACCCTGTCTAAGAAGGTTGTAGTACATGTCTAGTCGTGGGCATAGTATGAGGAGTTTGGGGAAAACCTTTAACATGGCAGGGTCCAGCACAGAACCAGGCCTGTGATTAACAGATCAGGACTCTACTGATAAGGAGCCTGTGTTCTAGGGGCCATCTCTGCCCATCTTTCCTCCCTTTTCAACATAGACATTTAAAGCATAACAAACAACTCTGAAAATTATGGTGGTTATTTTCCTCATATGTCTTTAGAGAATATTTTGCTAGTTGTTTTATATATTCCTGAGTTTGATTGTGAAAGGTTCTGCAAACCTAAGAGAAGAATTCTCAAGCTGAGAAGAAATGCAATCTAAGAACAGATATGCCATTACTGACAAAATCACCGTGTGCTTTTGTAGAGAAGATGGCCCATGTTAGAAAGACGAAGCAGCGCTCCTGTGCCTGCCAGCTTCTGCGGGGCCTCTGTTCAAGCTGGGTTTAGACTTGGATTATTCAGGACAGATGGCTTGTAATAGAATTTTTTTGGTATCTCCAAATACTAAATTCTGCACTCTTTGGTAGCCTGCTGCTGAGTTCAGTTCACTTGGACTGAAATTTTACCGTATGTTTAATCAAGCTGCTTTTCTGTTGCAATGATGTTAGCCTAGATTCTCAAGTTCAACTTTGTCCTAGGCGTTGTCCTCATAATAATAGGTCATTTATACCAATTCCTAAGCTTCCTTTTTTTCTAAGTCCACTAATGTTCTCCCACCTCCCCCCTGCCTCAACTCCATCCCACAGGTCTGTTTCCTATCATTTTTAAACATTTCTTTACTCTTGTTTCCAGATTTTCCACATCCTCTTTACATGAAAACCAAAACTGGTTACAGCTCTCTGAAAGGCCTCTTAGTTAAAAATTATGATTCTCTTACTGCTTTTGTCAGGGATATTCCTGATGTTAGATACCAGAATACTGTTATTTGAATATTATTTTTATAACTTGATATGAAGCATGTATATATAGCTTGTTTTTTAACATGCATCATTCTAACATCTACTCGTTTGCAAACAATTTTGTATTTCTTTTACGCATCTGGCTGCTTTCCCTGTCGTGAAAGTCTAGTTTGTTCTAGGTCTCCGGGTATGCTCCTTTGTGTTTATTCCAGTTCAGCAATTTTTTGTACACAATAGGTGTTTGATATTTATGTATTCGATGAGATGTTCATTTTAGCCTTGTCTTTCATGTTTAGTTAATGTCTTATACTGACAAGTTCCTCTCTCCTGGCAAGTTAACTCCCTCAGCTTTGTTGCTGTCCCCCTGGGGTATGTTGTAGGTTGTCACTACGAACGTGGGCTCACCGATGGCGTTTAGTAGTTGGAGCCAGGGACAGAATGTCAGCAGTAGCCCTGTTGAAAAGCCCTGGCAGCCACACATGGTAGTATTCATTATGGGGTTGAACCTGTGGCAGACACATGGTGGGAAACATTTATTGCGAGCTTACTGCATGCCAGGCACTGTCCTGAGGATCTATGTGTATTAAATCATTTGACCTTCTTAACAACCTTTGAGGCAATTACTTTACTATTTCTCCCATTTTACAGATAGGAGGTTAAATAATTTTTCCAAAGTCACATTGCTAGTAAGTAGAAAAAATAGGTTTCAAACCCAAATTGTCTGATGAAGAGCCCAGCATTGAGCTACTTTATCACCTGCTAGCCTATTATGCCTCTATACCTGCTTTCAGCTCTTTTGTCCTTATTACCTGGTTGTTAAACCGATTAATACTCTGTATACTCATCCAGTAAGAGCAGGGTCTAAATTAAAATGTCTTGGAAGAAGGTAAATCTATCCTTAGTGGACACCTTGGACAGCTGTCCATCAGTAATTCTTTCAGTAGTCATGGTGTTTACAACCTTGTTCCTCCTTGAGCCAAGTCTTTTTATTTTCTTTTGATTTGAGTGCAAGTGTCCTCCATATTCATGCCCTACTATCCATCACAGATGAATTTAAATTGTGTCAGAGTGATTTAGATTTCACAAAAACATAAAGGTTGTATTCCAAAACTTGTATTTTTCTGGATGATTTTCAATAGATGATGAAAAAATAGTTAAGGTTAAATTATTTTTTAACTGCAGGACGACTTCTAATAGCCTTTAATAAATACAACAATTCTTATTTAAGGATAGAATCCTTTTTAAGAGGAGTTCTGTTGAGGAATGTAAAGTTCAACCGACTCTCTGCAAGATTTTGTAGAATTTCTGTCCCCTGAAAAAGTTCAACCTGGAGGAAGATAATGGCTCAGGACAAGAATGGTCTTAGGGATGTTGTGTTAAAAATCCATTTACTTTTTGAATTTCAGAAGTGACCTAACAGTGTGGTTGTATAACTATTGAGGGACAAAGTGACATATCTAATTGTTGGCAATTGGACATGTAGGAGCTGGTACCTTCTTGGTTTCCAGTCACAGACTGAGGGAGTCATATCCTCCCCCAGGGTGAGACATAGATATCAGGATAGAACACTGGTGGCTACTGCTTTCAGTGTCATTGATGGCTCTATCTTTCTCTGTCTCACAATTGGACTGGGCTGGATTGACTCATTTCTAACTACCAGAGCCCACTGGGTAATTTCATGGATAAACTATAAAGTAGAAGTTTATCCATGCATTAGACAAAGAATACATATGCTTCAGTGTGGCGAGCCAAGGAAGAGAAGTAGCATTAAATGATTAATAGCTTAGTTAATAAAACTAATTTTTGCCTTTGCTCTTGGAGGGTAAAATATTTATGATTATTTCTGTAAGAGTAAAGTTGAAAATGTATGCCTCCTAACGTTAATATAGAAAATCTAGTCAGTACACATATGAAAAAATGCCTAGCTATCCTATAAATGTATATCTTAAATAGGAGGGAAATGTTGGGGTTTATAAAATCTTAGAAGATAGAAATAGATGGATAACTATTGATATACTACCCTCAAGATATTTTATTAAGTGAAAACAACCAAGTAATATATGGCAGGTCCTCCAGTAACATCATTTCATTATAATGTTGATGAGATGCTGAACTTAACTCTTGTTTATGTCAGTTAGCCTCTGGTAAAAACAGTTTCATTTATATGTTGTTCTGCCACAATTCCAAGAACCTATTGACAACGGTAAGTAAGAACTTACTATATATACACTTTTCAGTATAACAGTGTTTTTTTAAGTTTTTTTTTTTTTTTACTATGAGCCTCACACAATAGGAATATATTTTACATTATAGCTGAGTACATCATACTTATAAATATGATACAGTAACAGTAAAAGTTTATGAGACAATATTCATTCTCACTCTGATTATTATGATCAGTTTATTATTTTTATTGCCAAGTTGACTTGATCATCTAATGGGTGATCTACATCTACAGTTCACAACTGTAAAAACACCCATTTGGCATGACCTTTAGTGCTCAAAAAAAAAAATCTTTGGAAGTATACCCAGCAAATATTGTCATTAGGTTCTTTCTGACGGTGAGGCTTTAGGGATTGTGTTTGGAGGGAAGTGATGAAATTTTTTTTTAACCGTGTCATTTCATTTTTAATATGAGTTTTTTACTATGGGTGTGAAATATAATGAACAAAAGTAACAAGCGGAGGAAACCGTCTTTTCACTGAGGCATTCCTTCCTGTGATACAGCTTTTCCTGTCTGTGTCTTAGCTCAGGCTTTGGTTCTTGCCCAGGTGGAATCGGCTCCTGTCTGCCACCTTTCAGTCCAGTTCCACTCTTCTCCTCACTGAGATTTCAGCTTCACAGAAAGAGTTTTTATGGAACCAAGAAAAGAAGTTCAGACTGGCACTTTGTTTATAAAGTGAATTCACAGGATTGTGTGTTTCCTTTTGATTTTCATATTAGAACTAGCACGTGTTACTTTTGTGAGTTTAAAAAAAAAATTTGTTCTAACATGAGTAATTTAACCTTTGAAAAGAATTTGTTCTTGTTCTTTTATGAAAAAAAATACTGTGTAAGAAGCATTTTTGAGTGGCGATTAATCAATGTCTTTTTTTCTCAACAGGTTTTAAAATGGAAAATTTTGATGCATCACTTAGTACCTATTTCAAGGCACTGCTAGGCCCCCGAGGTAAGGTGGTTTTTGGTTTTGCTCACTTTTTCCCTACCCTCACCATAGCCACTTGTAAATATTGCATGATGAGATTCTAGAAAACATTAGCATTTTCTGTGATGACTCATGCTTTGTCCTGGATAACAAGGGGCTTGGAGAAGTCCTCTGACTGTTATTGAACTGGTGCAGTGTTCCCCTGGCTGTTGCAACTGAGACACAGCTCGCTTAGGCTGGAGATAAAGCTTGTAGCCTGAGTATGCCACAGATCTCTCCACTATCACCAGTATGTTTTCCTCAATTCTTGTCAGTCTCCAGCTGAAACTGGCTTCCAAAATGCCCTGCTGCAATGAGTTTGAAACGCTCCCTTTTTTATCATTTTAGGGCTTTTTAATGTTCTTTCATGTTCTAGCATGTCAACAAGTAAATATATATACCTGGATTCACTTATACTCCTCTTAGTCGTTTATTATCTCGTAGGAAGTAAATCAGCTCTGTATTACCTTCCTTTAATGTCATCTATAATGTCTCTTACTGTCTTATCTATAAAGAAGAAACTTTTCAGGTTCACAGAAAGATTCACAGAAAAACTCTAAGAGGCTTTTAAACAGATCTTTTAAAAGATTTTCAGTCTCATGATTTTTAAAATACATAAGAAAGCAACAAAAGGCTCTTTATTTGTATGGCAAAGATGAAATACGTGTGATGCCATCTGTGGTAATAGTGAGGATGTGGATGTGGAGAGTCTAAATTGGTATAACCTCTCTGGTAGGTAATTGCGTCCTTTGTTGAAATTAAAATGCACGTGCCCTTTGACTTAGCTATTTGACTCTTAAGAATTTATCCTAGAACTGACCTTGGTCAGTGATGCTACTTACAGCATTGCTTTCAAAACTGGTAATAATCTAGATGCCTGTCAATAGGGGACAGGTTAAATAAATTTATGTAGAGCTAGTGGAAAAGAATAATATAGATCCATCTGTATGTGCTTGTGTTGGGATGATGCCCCCCAAATTCAATTTTAAACAGCTGAAACAATAATAAAAACTACTAGCCTGTATTGTAAGATTAAGCAACTCCTGAATTATTAAGGGGCTCAATGTCGTTAACCAAGGACTCTTGTCATTTTCTCCTTTGCATCCTTAGTATATCAGTAGCTCTGAATAGGTCCCTTCCCCCACACAACTTTTCATGGTTACAGGTTGGCTACAGCAGCCCCAGGCAGCACCCTCAGAGGAAGAGGAAGAAATCAGCTCATTTGCGTGGGTTTAAGAACAAGGAAATTCTTGCCCAGAGACCTTGACTAGCTGTCATCTCCTCAAAGCTCAGTGGTCATACTTGCTTCACATATCTGAACCAGTCACCAGAGAGTGGGTTAGGATAACCATGATTTGGCTAGATTCCTGAGGATTTCTTGCCTGGGGCTGGAGATGGGGCCAGTTCCCAGGAAGTGCTAGGCATTGTGGAAGGAAGTTGGATACTTGCTGATAATGAAAGATAAAGATCTGTTATAAAATTTTAAAAGCAAGGTACAAACAGAGCTCTACATAAAAGGAAATGGGAGGTTTTTGTGTGTATATATATTGTGTTTGTGATATATAACGGACACATAAACATCTGATGTTAGTTGTTAAGTGGGAACTTGTTCTCTCAGAATTGACAGCTAAGGCCCAGAGCTGAGTACAAAAGGTGTTAAGAGTCCCCTGGTTAAGTTCACTGGGACCAGCCACTTCCCTGAAAGACTTCTGAGAACCCGCAGTTCAGCAGAACCGGCAGTAACCCTCTACCAGCCTAGCACAACTAGTGGGAGAGGGTGGAGGTCATCTCCCTCTAGAGCCAAGGGAAGAAAGCCATGAGAAAAACATGGAGAGGATTTAGGGTGTCTGCAAGAAAGGAGACTGACAGTAGGTTCTCCAAGTAACATATGCTTTACTTAACCTATGCTTGTCCTACGAAGTCAAGGGAAAAAGCATCAGAGAGAGTAGCGAGATGGTTCAGCTATGAGGTCAAAGAAGGGGCAAAGGCTGTCCCCCACTAGCTGCTACTTCTCAGAAGATAAAGGAAGTGAAACCTGCATGTGCCCCTGAGCTCCAGAGTAGGAGGCCTTGGAGGGTAGATAAGATTGAGGAGCTACAGGTTTGAGGAGTTCACATAACAGAATGCAGAGGGGAACATGCTTCAGAGGTGGCTTCTTAGGAGTCAGCCAGAGGAGGAAGTTGAATCTTGCAGAGGGCAGGTAACACCTAGGGGATCTGGCTGCCAGAAAGTTTACCCCCATCTAAGGGGAAGGCTGTCAGATTGATGCTAGCAGCTACTTGGAACTAATTTTCCTTTTCCTCATTATTCCTACTTTGGAAAGGGATGAGAGCAGGCGATGTCTCCTACACCAGTAGGTCCCTTGAGTTAGTGTAGCTTCTCCCTCAAGCTTCAACTCCTTACCTGGTTCCTTAATACCTTACATAGTCATTTATCTAATCGTCACTGCTTCACCCTCACAAAAAAAAATTGTCCCTATGCTGTCGACCATTGCACTCATAGCAGATGCTGCCTATCTATTCATTGACTATCATTAAGCTGGCTAAACGGCACATTTTCTCTAAGTCTGCACGTGCTGGGAGGACTTCAAGGTTCAAAGACTGCCATTTCTAGGGTTTCATTATCCCATGAATAATTTAACAAATCTGGTTAATAAATCCAGTTAATGGAAAATTTAGCTTTCCCCTTTTTTTCCCGTAAGATTTGTTGGAAAAGATTTTTTAAATTTACTCTTTATTAATGCACTTAGCAAAAATCATGAGTAATATACACATTGTTGTTCAGAACATGTAACAAGGAGAGCATGTAAGAAGGAGCTTCACTTTGTATGATATAGATTGAAAACTCCTGCTGCTTCTTCTGTTGATTCTAGGTAACTATTATAAAATTGTGGTTAGAAAAAATATTTTTTAACGTTTGAAAAATGTGGTGATTTTTATATCTAACTTACTAATCACTAATGTCTTTTATTATTTTCCAGACACCAGAGTAAAAGGATGGTTCCTTCTGGACAATTATATACCTACTTTTATCTGTTCCATCATATATTTACTAATTGTGTGGCTGGGACCAAAATACATGAAGAACAGGCAGCCGTTCTCTTGCCGGGGGATTTTAGTGGTGTATAACCTTGGACTCACATTGCTGTCACTTTATATGTTCTATGAGGTAGGTCAGAGGTTAACATGGGTTTGCTTCCCCTCACTTAACTTTATTCATATCACAGTTCTGAATTGTGTCTCTAAATGAAGAAAGGTAGCTGGGTGGAATGGGGAGAAAACTAGAAGAGCAAGGACATTAATGCACTTTGGGTATGCTTTAAAATTTATTTTTTCAAAATACTAGAGTTTGTGCAACTATGCCTTCTAGACTAACATAGAAAAGCCTTTGCTATTGATTCTTTTTTTACGTTTCGTATTGTATTCAGAGTTAAAATAAATATTTTGGAAATACTCTTATACAAGCAAAATACAGATTAGAAAATGAACAAAACACGAAAAACAGATTTGTGAGCATTTTATTATTAAGTGTTTAATAAAATGATTCCCGTTTGGGGTAGAGAGGAAGGAAGTGAGTGGTACTTGTGTTTTTACATTTGTGGTAAGTCAGCCTCTCTATCCTGATCTGATAACTGTAAATAGCTTTGAGATTTGACAAGTTATTTTTCAAAAACTAAGAAGAGTGGATAGTGAGATCTGTGTTTAGGGTTTGAATGGCCTGTGTAAGTTCAGGCCCAGTTGTTTCTTCTGTATAACTGGAATATTGAAAACCACATTTGATGATCTCAAAAGCAAATGTTGTAGCTTAAATAAAAATGAAAGAATCAATACTATGTCCTCCCTGTTTTGCACAATACTGTAATATGGCCTTTGAAGCTGAAGGTGGGGAGGGAAGCTGCCCTCCTGTGGTAAGCACAGTCTGTGTGCATTTTTAGGGGAAGGACTCTACCTTTCAGGCTTACAATACCAAACTATTGCTAGTCTCTGGGATGGAGAATTAAGCCATACATAAAATGAACGCTTTAAGCAGTCCTACTTAGGTTTTTAACCTTTTATTGTGGCTTTAATTCTCCAACGAGTAGTAAAGAAGATAAGGGGAAATGGGGAAGGAGAGAGATCAATATGAATCTTAAAATTAATATTTAGAAGAATGAATAAATTTTCCGTCAGCCTCAGGCTATGATGATGTGGCTGTGTATGAGGGTGGATAGGGTTGTACAAGCTTTTGGAAAACATTGTATTTGATTGTCAGAGGTATTGCAGCTATGGGAGAGCTGTGTCTTATTCTCCCACATACATTTCATAAACCGCAGTAGAGGTTTTGTGACTAGAATGGTAGATGCTACTATCTTAACTTTTATGCTTGACACTCTAAAATGCTTACAGCTCCTTTTTTGCTTTTTTTTTTCTGTCCTATTCTAGAACGAAGGCAGTTTAATTAGCCTCCAAAGTGGATATGGCAGGACTGGAGGCAGGGGCAGTACACAGGAGTGACTCCTGGGCCCAGCATTGTGCACATCTGTGTTCAAGGGACAAATTGAGGCAAGCTGTCAGGTTTTTCAGAGTGAACTGTTTACTTTCCCTTAATTGATAGGTGATATAGCCATTTCCTTTAAAAAGCTTTTATAGAGTTTATTATTACACATAGCAATATTCTAGAGGAAAAATATTTAAGATTATTTAATCTTATAGAACTTAAGCATCTGCCTTGTATGTTTCTCAAGCCCTAAAGATCTAGCTAGCTATAACTACATAATTTAACCTTTCAGGTAATTTCTTGGTAAAGAGAGGACAAAAACTATATGAATCGCTGCTATCTATCTATCTATCTATCTATCTATCTATCTATCTATCTATATAACTATATATATATGAATGAGTAAATTTAAGGGTTCTGAAAGCATTATAATAAGCAGTACAAATTGTCTTCAGCTTGGTGAGAACAATAGAAAGCATTGAGCAATGCCTAAGCACTGAATATAGAGATTTAAGAACTATACAGAGAAGGAAAATAACATTTTTAACTCACAATTTAGAGTACATAGAGATGTAATACATAAGGGGGCAATAATTGCTTAAATTAAGTTGATAAACTCTACCCAGATCAGATATATCTGAGTCAAAAATAAGCTGTGGTACTTCAAGTTAAATAATATTTACATTTGATGTTTCTGACTTTTTTTCTTGTACTTACATAAACTCATCGGTAATACCATTACAAGATATCGTTTGTCAAGTTTTTAATTTCATTTTAGCTACTAGTTTTTCTTTTTTTTACTTAGCATTTATACTCTAGTGAGTACTAAAACATGGGAGGGCAGTCATGGAGTTGCACAACAACAAACTAAGGTTTTCATGGAGCCCAGTTGGGCCCCTCATTTTCAAAGAAATGTCCATAGTTGGAGTCATATGCCTGTGGTCACACAATTGGCACAGTCATGATTATTAGTTTTTATTTACCCTCCTGCTTATCTACATATTTGGATCTGTGAAGAGTTTTTAAAACAAATATGTAGTCACTGATTTTTTTGTTTATTTAATCCTGTGGCATGCAGTCACGGCTGCTGTGGCAAGTTCTAGGTTAAGACAAATAAAATTAATTGTAACTAAAGGACACAAGGAGAAATATTGAAAGAAGGAAGGTAAAAAGAAAAGTGGGGAGAGTAGCTGAAACTTTAAAATTGCTAGAAGAAAAAAAGTAAATAAACAACATGTTTAAAATTGTGTAACTGAGTTTAAAATGTAGAAAGAACACAGGCTTGTTCGTAGTTTATGCTATTAGTAGGAAGAAAACTAAAAGGAGAGATATGGCATTACTTCTAATTATCTCGGTTATTTAGTGTTTATTTTCTGGACAAAGGTCATAGATCCCTGATTAGAAGTATATTTGAACAGTGGGATGTTTTAGATTGAAAGTTTATGATTTTATGGCAAGACTTTTAGCTTTTGCTTGTTAAATTAGGTGTTGTCTAAGATCACAGTCGATCGTGAAGGCTCAGAAATAAAATTTCGGATTATAGAAGAGAGAACTTAGTTTGCATTAAGCTTTGTAAAACTGCCCTCAGAGTAAACATAAAAATCTTGCGTTCCTTTCTATCCCCAGAGATTTAGGGCATATTTCATTTGAATAGATAACCCACTGTTTTTTCTAACTATCCCCTTGTTCCCAAGCCCCAGATTGGGAATCCACATCCACCCGTCACAAAATTGTGGCTTTTCCTCATTGTGCAGCATATACCTAGGCTGGACTCCACTTTTCCCTGGCTCACCAGCAAGCTCTTTGAGCTGTTTCTGACTCCTTTGTGTTAATACATCAATCATGGGGTTCCCACTTAGGCAGCTGCTCTGTCCTGGTGTGGAACCATTTTGGTGTGTCCGCTCTTCTCTTCTGTGCCTCTGGCTCTTACCACTCTAAGCAGAGAGGATCTAGTGCCTCTGTTTTTATGGTCCAAGAGGGAATGTCCCTGTTGATCAGCTTGCTCCCATGCACTGATCTGGGGACTCATCAGTAGCTTCTGGGGAAAACCAGGTTGCTATTGCACAGTCCCATGTGGCTTTGTACTGAGCCAACTCCTCGCCCGTTTCCTCAGGAGGAGATACTTTGAGCCTTCTTAGCCTGTCCATTATGCCCAGCTCTATTCAAGCCCGCCAGCACCACACTCTCATTCTGTGTTCTCTACCCCCTTAAAAACTCTCTCTTCCTTTCTGACCTAAGTCTATCTTGGTTTAACTACCTGAATCTTACTTTTGAGGACACTATGCAGGATTCAGCTCCTCAGTGAAGTCGTGAGAGGACTTAGCTCCAGAACAGTGATTTTCCAGCATAGTTTGCCTCCCTATTCCCAAGGAACAGGACACATTCCTTTCCTTTAAGTGCTCTGGTGAATATGCCCTCTAGCATCTTCTCACTGAAATCACTGGCTCACAGGATGGCTGTCATTATAATGTATCTTCCACATTTTTTTTCTCCATCGTTAGTGTCTTCCACCAAATGTGTCCCCAGTATTAGGATAGAAAAAAGCAAAGCCAGAACCAAGGTTGTACTTTATTTAACAAAGATGAATCACAGATTACAAACAAGGTTATTTATTGAGTCTTTGCTTATGTTTATTCCCTTGCATTTAGAACAGTGTCGTGAATGTGAGAGAATTCTCTCAAACATTTAGCACATTTAAAATGTAATTTTAAAACAATGATTGGCAGTTAACTACATGGATAGATGGATCTGGATTGGCATAGATCCAAAACTTATTCTCTTT